TCTTGGTCACCACTGGCCACCTTCCCTACTCTACAAAATGGGCGGGGCCCGATGGGCGTACCGTGCCTGACTGGCTCGTCGTCCCTGACAGCGCCTGGCGACTCCTCCACTATGCTGGTAAGGGGGGGCTCGCTTTAGCGTAGGAAGCACTAGTCGCTACCCACCAGGGCAAGAAGCCGATGCCGCACATAAGGCAAAAGAATACCAGTTCGAAGCTCTGCACAAGATTTACTTTTATGACGCATGGAGGAGCCAACCAGAGCTTGGCACCAGGGGACCTGACTTACACCTTCCCCCCCAACCTGGACTTCTGCAAGCAGGCTGTTACTGGCCGCACCAAAGCCCTGCCCCTGCCATCGATGTCAGCTCGGGTAGCTCCGAGACTGCAGCACGAGAACAGGAAGAGACAGGTATGCCAGAGAAAGACTCTGAGGATAGGGCCGACGAAGCACAACACGTGCAGACCCCGTCATCAGCAGAAGCCGACGCTGAAGCAGATGCCTGGGATTGTGCCTCTGATTTTGTACAGTAGGCCTGTCCCACACCAGCAGGTGCACCAGCCCACATCCTGCCTATCAAAGATACCTCTCCGCCCTCCACCTTTGCCCTTTCAGCCCCCTGCCTAGGCTAGATCTCCGGACGCAGGATTGTTAGAATATCCATCCATTATGATTCCCTACAAAATGAAGGACCTCCCCTACCAAATAAGTACACCCAACCCACAAATCGTGCATTCTCTTTTCCCTACTAAATAAGTACACCCAACCCTCTTGCTGCCTACAAAATGCTGGCATCCCAACCACAGGGGTCGTGCGACCAAACCCCTTTACTACTAAATGTGCATTCTGTAGGAGGGTTAACCCCCACCATTCTGTAGGCTAAATACCATCACTGATTTTGATCCCGTGTCCCTGGCCTTTTGTTTGCGCTTGTTTAAACTTATTGTGACTACTACAACCACCACTACTACGACTAGTACGACTACCACTACCACTACCACTACTGCCTGAGCAGATTATTCAGGGGAGGTGGACCTCATGAATCGTACCTCAGACCTTCTAGACCTTCCACGTGGGGGGGGGCCAGTTGATTAATCCGGGGTTGACATTAACCTGTTTTGCAAAGTGTTAACTTCATCCCTTTGAAACTTCACGGGAATATTGGCTAGTTGAACTGTCTAGCGTTTTCCGTGCAATCCTTTTCTTCCATTTCGTCCACTTAAGTGCCTTTTTCACCAAAAACAACGACCCTCAGACGTCAAAAAAGGCACGAAAAGAAGGCATTCCATGTCCGTTTCTCTCTTCCACGTGGACCCGTCACGGACACGGCTCCACCATCGACTCCGCCCAGGTGCGATGATAGACCGGCTGGTGGGCGGTCAAGCCCTTCGCATCGATGGTGGGCGGTTCTCCGAAAACGATGCCGAAGGGGCGGCCTGGGCGGCCTTGAGGTGTCCAATTGTTCGGTGGTTTGGAGGATTTGTTGGATGCCAAAATAAGGGTCAACATGATAACGCAATGGGGAGTTTCATTGGAGATACTATCAAACATTCATCATGCAGTATCATATGCACTGATTCTGATAGGGCTGAAAAAGGTCGACCAACAAAAGGCTCCTCCAACGAAAGGTCGACCTTCCGAAAGGTCGACCTTCCACTGGTTTCGCCATCCTTCTGAAAGGTATGAAAAGATTCAGACCTCTTCGACGCGCGGCAAGGGGTTTGGTGTACCCTCTGTGGTCCCCCAAATGCCACAAAAGGTCCTTCGAGCATCATTCAGTTCCTTCGTTAGGCTGTTGAACAGCACAAACAGTAGTATTTTCTAGAGTTCATCCTCTTCAAAGGTTCGAGCACAATCACTACCACCCAAACAATCCAAATCCAGAAAGTGGCTCACGAATTGCTGCATGGCATGTGTTTTAACGCATTGCAAGTGTGAAATCTAAGGTCGCTAGCAAACAGCATTGCAGTCTTGGACATAGCATACACTGAGGATCACCCATGCAAAGTGCGATTTGTCCAAAGCATCTTGTACCCTCTTCTTCTTCAGAACTCTATATACATATATCAAAGTGTACATATATATATATATATATTACTTTTGTATGTTTTTCAAATCTGTCAAATCAATATATATATATGATATGAATAATTAGGCAGTCCTTAGTCCTTGAATTTCCAACATTCCACCTGCTACAAAGGGGCCAACTGGCATGTCCCCCAAGTCCAGGTTGAGCCTGGCCTTGAGTCGTGACTTGGCGCTGGTGTCGTGCATGGCTGGTGCCAGGCCAAGTCGTGCCTGCGAGGGGCGCGGGGAATGAATGTTTCGGTGGTCCAAACATGTCTCTACACCACATGAAGAACACGTTTTCAAACATTTCAGTAGAAGAATCTCCAATTAGGATGGAGGCCATCGCTACTATTGTCCAAACATTTGAAAAGTCCTCTTCTGAAAAGCTTCTCTACATCTGTTCTTCCTGTCTCCTGCTAGCACCCCGTTTGTAATGTTGTCTCCCGACATCTTGCCCTTAGTGCCCGCCGACCAAGCCGATGAACGATCACCGGTGGGTGACCCGAGTAGATGGGCGACATCAGCCTCACTAGCTGCTGATCCTGTGGAGAGATAGGGGTCTACAGTCCAAAGAGTGAGACAAATCCTTCTTCTCGGTCATCTTACAGTACATCTTGAACACATCAGTCCAGTAGGGTCGGGTTCCAGCAGGAATTGCTAGGTCGTTCAACATATTCGCATAATTTCGCTTCACATGTCCAGGGGTCATATTCTACGCATCTGTTTGATGCTTACCTTCTGACATTTAGCCATGCCTTGGGCTTAGCATCCTGGTCATTTGTCTGGTCTGAACATCTTGCCAAGATATCCTGAGAAACATCCGGACCAAAACCAAGGGACTCCGGAAAAAGAAAGGGTGCTGGAGAACCCCCTTCCCCAGCCTCCTGCACAGCACCGCTCCCTCTGTCAAACACAGCGAAGTAGATACGCAGGAAGACCTGCCGGTCGAAAGGTGATCCTCCGTGATGCGGTGATGCTCGGAGCAGCTGAGCAGCTGGGTGGCCGTCATGCCGGCAGGCCGAGAAACCAGCCGAACTCACGCGTTGGTTCCCAAACGCAGTTGGTGTTTTTCACTCCAAACGGCTGGGCTCAGGGAGGTCTGTCCGTCTTCGCCAAGCTGGGAGAAATGGGCCAGAAACGGAGCCCAGGAATCCCAGCTTCTCCTATGCTCATATTGAGTGATAGATAGCAGTAGATGCAAATAGGTCCTTAAAAACTCAAATCGTGATGAAGGAACCTCTCAGAGCTTTGCCAAAAGAGGGTTTGGTTCACTGCTCAAGAAGCTGTCAGTGTGGGAGACATCAAAAGTGCTCTCACCACTGCACGCCTCACCCAAGACCATGCCAGGGCCATGGGCCGCTGGAACTTGAATCATCATGAAGGCAGGGGTGCATTCCACGTCCTCTCCTGCAATCCGAAGACTTCACGAGGCTTCTTGGCGATGCACATATGATCTTGAATGAAAACATCAAACAATGCGGTTGCAATACAAAACAAAGTAGTCAATCGTAGGTTTTGGGCACACAAGATCAATCAATCACCACCTAAAATCACCACTTGTATAAGCTTTGTAAAACCGCAAAGTCTTGATCCAAGCTAGTATGAAGTAATGTGGCCCTCAGATTTATAAAGACCCCTAGAATTATGTCGTTTTTTTTTTCCCTGCACTGATTTATAAAGGCCCCTAGAATAATGTCTTTTTTTTGGGAGGGGTAGTTGTAGTGGAATATGTTTTATTGTTATAGTCTACTTTTTCCCTTTTGATTTGCTTTACTCATTCTCTATTCCTTATTAACTTTTCCTAAGCTCTTTAGTGTTGAAGCTTTCCAAAAGTTTCCAACAGTCAGTGCGCACTTTCTTTATATATAAAATCCCTTATTCAAAAGTATTGAAAAACAAAACAAATCATTCAAGCAAAGGGGGTAGTCCAGCAAGCAGCTTTCTGACATTATTTAGGGGGGGCCCCTAGAATAATGTCTAGAGATTTGAGGCTTTAAATCTTTATTCCTTTTCTTTGCCTTTTGATTTGCTTTACTTACCATTGAAATTGCAGGTCTTTGGATTGAGATTTCCATTGAAATTTAAACAGTTAGTTCTATTTCAATTTCCATTGATTCATTCCCTTTATTGTAATTAATATTCCAGATGTCTTCAAAGTTAGGAATTCTTATTTCCTTTTAATTTAATATTGCCAGAGTAGCTCCAGAGGTAGCTAGCTAAGGATTCCTTATTTAATTATCAACTGATTGATTTTCTTATACATTATTTTGGAGGCCTTGGTTGGGGGGGGGTTATAAATCAAGGGACTACATTGGTGTTCTTCCACCATGGTATAGTAACCACTTTCAATCTCTGTCTGTCAACTTCTCGCCTTCCCCACCATGAAGCATGTACTGCTTGTTGGTGAGGACAAAGTCACCTTGTGAGCAGGCTCAGGCCACTGAGAATTCCCGATGGGCAGGTGTGACGACTGGGTCGAATCGAGCGTCGAATCACACGAATTAGAATCCAAATGACCTAACCCAACAAACAAACTAAACACATGTGTTTTTTTGGGGCTGGCTTGGGGATGAAAAGCATGAAGAGCATATACGGCACACAGCGGAGTCTTTCTGATGCCCACCTCAGCAATTCCTTTCTCGCATGCAGCACAGCTCGCCAAAGGAGTCGACCCAAATGACCCCACCGGTGGAGATTTGGGCTGTCTCCTCTTTTATCGTTTTGGGCCGTCTCCTCTATGTGTGCAGGTCCATGTTCGGTCCGCTTCTCCCACGAACTGGGCCATCCAGGCGGGCTTCTCCCGCTGTGTTCACCAAGGTGTAGGTGATGTCAGGATGGCTCTGCTCCGTTAGACTGGCAGCGATGAGCGCAGTTGGCACTTCTGGTTCTGCAACAATGATGCCACCTCATTAGGTATAATCCCGTGACGTATGACAACCTCTTTGACCCAACAACTTTCACAAGGCTTGATGCTGTCACTGCACCACCTTAACCCATTCAAACCCCTGCTCCCTCCTATGGCCTTTCCCCCATCCTTCTAGGGCAGCGGATATCATTGGTTCACAGGCCCACGACTGATGCGACTTGGTCATTTTCAAAAGCGACTTGGCGACGGCCGGGTTTCACCTGGAGCATGGAGCTGCAGTCAGGCGGTTCATCACTTCCTTGAAGAGACGGCCCTGGGAAGAGAAGGCCGCGGACCCGGCCGCGGAGCTGACGGGTGACTGCAGGAGGACATTAAACTAACACATCTACCACAAAGGGGTATGTAGCTGTTGTTTTCAAACCAACCATGCAAGTAGATGCAAGTTGTGAAATTACCAAGATTCACCCCCCCAAAACGGGTTTTGCCAGTCTTTCTGGTAGGCAATCAAAGCTTCAAACGCCGAGGATGGGCTCTTGCATGCTCTTGCTCTCATGAAACATTGTCGTTGAAGTCATGAATTGGGGCTGTTTAGCCAACTAAGTCGAGAACATCTTCACCCGTCTCCAGTCGAAACAGCGAAACTCAGGGAAGGTGGTTTGTTTGCTCCTGGGTTATAGAGGTAGTCAGGGCGTATCTCCGTCCACTCTCCAAAACAATAAAGATCAATTTCAATTTGAGATTATCTATCACTGGCTCTTACCTGACCAACCCCTTGCTGTGGCAAAAACTACGATGAATCCTGAGGGATTTCTTTCATTTTTCAAACGTCATTCCCCGAATTGAACCAACTCTCTTACATGAAGAGATTTAGTCTTTGGGACCCCGGTGACCTATATCCTCATGAAGAGAATTAAGTCTTGGTGACCTCTTCTGATTGATCCACCCAAATAATAAATAATTGCGACCTTCTGGCACCCCTCAAAACAACAAACCTTCCGGGGGTTGATTTATTCAACGTTTAAAGACTCAACCAAAGCGGGACATCAGTTTTAAGGGGTCCTCCTTACTTATGAGGTTCCAGTCCAGGGACACTCCCTCATTTAGACCTTCTTTCGACCGAAAGACCTGCGCCGTGAAGAAGGTCGTGCCGGTGTCCACGATGGCCTGTGCCGACAACACAGGTCGCCGCACACAAAGCCGCGAGACGGGCTGCTATTGGATGCAATTATACGTATGATTTGGGTATATCATATATTATCCACGACTAGTTGGGGGAATTTCTTCTCGCCCGGAATTTCCTTATGCAAACTTGCTCATGGAAAATTTGTCACACTACTCATCTATTGCTAACCAACCGTACCCACTCAATGTTCGTCTTGAGCTGCCCTTAATCTCCCAGGGACCGACTCCTGCAGAGTCTCCGTTTTTGTCTATTGCATTCACAGAGGGGCAAAAGTTATACCAAAAAGTAAAGAATGCATTCGCACCAAGCAAAGTTTCGACAATTTGTCCTTCAAATCTTGAACGGTTGAACGCCTTAATTGGTAATTCACCTTGTGAAGTGACCGTGTCTTAAACCGGTTGTTCCGTGGGTGGCGCGCATGTTTTGTTACATATTTGTCTTTGTCTACATACACACCCTTGGGTACCCCACCTATGTGGAAGGACCTTAAGGGGCGATGACGGATCGATCGCAAGTTGGTTTGGTATATCATATATCCTTTTACCTGTAAGATTGCATGATTATGGATAGTAACGGTCTTGTTCAATAATCGTGTTAATGGTTTACTGGCTGTTACAAGGGGTCTAGGACAAACCCAAACATATATCCCGATCTGGACCAGAGACTGATGCCGACCACTGGCAAAGACCCACGGGCAAAGACCGCAGTGCTAGTGACGGCCCAAGCTGGCCTCTACTACGGCCCTTTTTCATGCGCGACCTGTGGCCCGCGGCCCTATGGATCCCAGCTTACAAGGAGTGATGCCTGGGATTGGACTGGTGAGTGGGAATTGACCTTTGAAAAGTATTTGAATTTCAATCGATTGGGAATTACATGGGATTTCTACATGACAACCTCCTGCCTGCAATCCAGTCGTCTGTTTCATCCAACGTACCTCCCCGGCCCATCGCGCGCCTTAAATGTCGTCTGCTCGCCTCGCGCTTGCTTTTGACCTCGATGGAAGCCACCACGAACGCAACATACCAAATGCCCTGCGGATGGTCAACGCTGGGTCTGCATCAGGTTTACATCACGTCTAGACCTCTCCACGCTACTTCCACTGCCACAGAATATGGACATGGAACATCTATGAACATCCCCTGTTCATACTGACAAACAAGAAGCTATTAGGAACAAGTGCATCGCTAGTAGTAACAAGTGCCACGCTAGTAGTAACAAGAAGCTTTTTGGGAGGCCAAACTGCCTGCCCACTTCCACACCCTGGCTGAACGGAACCCAAGCCCACCGACTTCGGTGGCTCAGGTGCTCCAGACCGGTCTGCTCCTCGGAAGAAGGTGGCCCCACCATGAGAGCAGTGGTCTTAAGGACATGTGAGAGAAGGTGGCCCATCAACTGCTCCCTGTTGGATGGACTTTTTGTTGGACTTTGGGAGTAACCCTTTTTTTTCTTATAGGCTTGATGAGTGTCAAAAGAATCCAACATATCTGTAGAATTGTGATGATCCTTCATGTGCCACTGACTCAACTTCACACATGGGATCTCATGGGCAAACGCCCAGTTTTAGAAAACACATGTAGGTCGTTGCTGCAAGCTGATAGTAAGTTCACTTTGGGACAGCGGATAACGGGCTGACACATACACACATTGACATGCTAATCAAACCTATATATAGCTCCAACTTTTGGCTCCAATCCCCAGTCCTGTTTTTGTTGTTTCCGAGGATTTGTCAAGAATCGTCTTAGTGACCGGGGAGTCAACACGTTGGTTTCCCACTCCCCCAAAGGATCTCCGTCCTCCTCCGGCAAAAGGAGATGCAGCAAGGAGTCCTGGCCAATCTTGAAATCCTTCAACTGCACCTGAAGAGATCGAATGTGGCACCTCCTTCTGCCATTGGAGAAGTGAGGTGAGGATAGGTGAGGTGAGGTACCACGTCTGATTCGCCCCCACCCTCTTCCAAAGAAACCAACCCACAAAAGGCATGTTTTCTCGAGGTATATCATGGTTTCTCGGTTTCTCTCGGTGTTTTTAAGGGATGACATGGGCTGCTGTGAGCGAGCCGGTGAACAACAGGCCAGGATGCCGGTGCCGGTGAACAACCCAACAGCTGTATGAGACATCAACAGAGTAGATGGCACAAGTTACCCCAAATGTCGGTGGTTTCTTGTTGGACCCCCATCTCAATGTTCATCTTGAGGTGCCAGTGCCATCTACTCTGATGGCCCACTGTAATTCATACGGCTCTGCATACTGCTCACTCTGGTCATTTCCTGAGTTCGAGGTACCCGGAGGACCTGGAGGCTGAATCTTGTGCGCTGATGACTCCTACAGCTTGAGATTGGCCTGTGTTTTCTTTCGCTTTCCAAGAAGCTGATCTGCGGATTTCAAATGAAAGCTCCCCAACGAGAGAACCTCTATGAAGCAGTCAACCAAAGGACCTCTTTTGACTCTGCGGTCCAAAAGCTACCAATTCTTGTAACATCTGTAACCTCCCAAGCTGTCCGATCAAGGAGAGGTCGTCCGATCAGGGTATGGGCGACTGGGTGTCATTTTTGACCGGCAACAATGGCATTTGTCCGGGTGACTCATAGTTCTACACCTCTGTGGTGAGTACGAGCCTAGAGAGCTGAAAGAGCTCATCGGATCTGATAAGACGAGTTGAGGTTGGTTGAGTGTTGTTGTGTTGAAGACCCACTTAGACTGAGTCTGGTGCACTTCCATCATTCTGTGGCAGAAGATATTGAAATCCTGGAGGTAGTTAGTTCTTGCGCGGAGATGGATACCGCGTATAGCTGGTCAAACACTCTGGTCACAGTAGGACTCCACTGGCTGTCTACGGTCAGCTGAACCTCTTTTTTCAGGTCAGCTGAGGGCCCAAACCGCCCAGTAATAGGGCTCCACCACAGGGAAATACCTCACAGGCCGCACGTCGGCCGCACGTCGGTGGGATGCACCACGATTTCGCGGATCTTTGTCAACGGCAGGGCACTCTCACGGCACTCTCATGGCTTGCAGTTCTTGAGGTGAACCGCTTGGAAGCACCGCTTCTTCGTCCCACGGCCCCGCAACTCCCAAGTGTCCAGCTCGATGTCCCCGGAGTAGAACGCCCGATCCACCTCGGCCCAGTTCTCACGCGTGAGACAGCCGGTGGCACGCGGGAGAACGGCATAATGGCTTATGCTTTTGGGCTTGACGCCCATTTGCAGGATTTGTTTACCAATGTTTATCAAGTAAAGTACAGAATTGCCTTGTGAACAACTCCCACAATCGGAGTGCCAAGTGGAAGTTGATAAAATTCAACAATATATCCTGTAACATGTATCTACGCACTGATTGTATATTATATACATGTAGATGTAGATGGACAGTCCATGCTGTACCACAAGAGATTCCAGCCAACTATCTTTGCTCTTGCTGTGTAGGGTGATGTGTAGGGTTGGCGCATGATGGCCTGATCATCAACTACAGCTCCGTTGTGGTTCGTTCCGGGTGAATCTTCTGATCCTTCCCCACAAAACGACAGACCGCGTGAGACCTGCCTTCTGAGTGATCTGCGTTCATTTCAGGCACAGGCCAATTCCCCTGCACACACAGGAGCCAGGCCAATCGGACCTCCCCTCCGGACGGACTCGGATTTAGACAGCGAGGAGATCCGAGGAGATCCAATGGGTGCCCGAACTCCACCCCAAAAGATGGCGTTCCCCGCTACATCATCCGGACCTGAAGTGAGCGTAAGAAACGCGGCGATACCGGCAGCTGAAGTACTGGTAGCGGGGCGTGGCATGGGTGGTGGGCACGTGGCATGTTCTACATGGATGGAAACAGCATCAACCGGCTGGAAGACATGGGCCAACTGGCAAACAAGGACCTCTGCATGTAAAGCAGCAAGGAATTTCAGCTCAAACTTTAAGGCAAGCACCCCTGCACTCAAGGATTCTTCGGCCCTTCAGCAAGCCACCAGTACAACATTCAAGGTATTTCTAGTGTCTGAATATGGAGGAATATTAGTCAAAAAAACAAGCGGATAGATGACGTTGCAGTTTGGTCCTTAAACTCTGACGCACCCCACCCTCAACTCGGAAAAGAGCTCTGGATGGGTTCAAGCATGTTCAAGCGCCATCGTTCTTCAACCAGTTCAACCATCTGACAGGTGTCACACCTGACGACCACTCATCCACCTTCCTGCACCTTCCGGCTGGAAGGTGCCAAATTCAGGGCAAGGCCCTCCTTCCGGCGCTTGCGCGCATGAGAACCATCAAATTGGTTGCTCGACATAAGAGACTTTAGACTTGATCAGTACCCCCAAATTCATGAGCAGCAATAACACCAGCAGCTGTAAGTATGGAGCTCATTTGCCATGAATTGCCTGACCTCCAAACGTGCATTCTTTAAATATTGCATCTGATTATCTAAGCTAAGAAAAAATATCAAGCCAATCAAGCACAAAGGAAGGTCCATCTGATGTCCAGTAATCTATGGATTTGATCGCCCGCACGTCCACCCCGTGGCTGAAACGCGTGGCTGAAGTAAAAGGCGAACTCGTTCCGGCCGATGGCCTGCAAATATGAGTGCACTCTGACGAACACATCACATGGAAGTGGATGGCATGGGACCCTAGAACACTACTGTCCTCTACAAACAGGGTCCTATTACTGACGAAAACAAAAGTTTTGAGGTCTTTTGAGCGACTTGACATTGATCCGAAAACCACACCCTCGCAGAACACGTCACCAAATCATCTTTCGGTGGGGTTGGGGATGGCAACATGAAGTTGATAACTTGCTGTATGCATAATCCACACACAATGATAAATACATAGACCTGAGAAGCTGCAAAGCGAAAACCAGCGTTTTTACTTTCGAGTGTGCTGTCTCAGGCCACCCCCTCGAATCCCCCTTCTTACTCAGCTGGCGCAAGTATAGTACTTCAAGTTCCCTTGCCGTCAACCGCTCGATAACCTTTACACACGCACAGCAATCCACAGCTTTGAACTCTCATTCTGGCATTGACCGTATGGGTGTGTCAGAGGTATAGCAACATAGCATTTATACGGACCCAAGGTAGCTACAATTCTGTTGCCAGTATCCCACTTCAATTTCCCTGCCATGGGTCCGCGCGCGCGCGCGCCTTGCTGGCTCCCAGCTGCCCGTGATTAAAGTGCGCGCGCGCGGACCCAGGGCACCTACAAGGCAGTTGCCAGGTATACCCAGGGTAGCTACAATTCAGTTGCCAAGTACAGCACTGCAACCAACCGAAGACAATTGCATTTCTTAAAATCACAAAAAAGCACCTCCAAAACCTTGCTTCCGTGCACCCCTACACACCACCTACTTTCGAGTGTGCTAGTGCGCTGTCTCAGGCCACCCCCCGAACCCCCCTTCTTACTCAGCTGGCGCCTTGCCAGGTATAGATACCCAGGGTAGCTACAATTCAGTTGCCAGGTATAGTACTTCCAGTTCCCTTTCCGTTTGCCAGCTATACCCAGGGTAGCTACAATTCAGTTGCCAAGTATAGCACTTGCAACCAACCGAAGACAATTGCATTTCTTAAAAGCATACTGAATTGTAGCTACCCTGGGTATACCTGGCAACTGCCTTGTAGCTGCCCTGGGTCCGTATAAATGCTATGTTGCTATACCTCTTACGCACCTATATAAGTTCAATGCAAGAATGAGGCTTCAAAGCTATGGATTGCTGTGCGTGTGTAAAGGTTAGCGAGCGGTTGATGGAAAGGGAACTTGAAGTACTATACCTGGTAACTGCACTATAGCTACCCTGGGTATCTATACCTGGCAAGGTGCCAACTACACCTTACCATTCAGATGATGCAAATGATGCAAATTGCATTTCTTGCATCACCACCCCTCAAAAATCACCTCCAAGACAACCTCAAAAAACCATCCATCCGTCCACCCTCCTCCCCCAGCATGTGCCGAGTTTACGTGTACCTTTTGCGGGCCACCCCCCCAGACCCCCTAACTACTCACTTCGTTCGCCAAGCACAACTCAGCTGGCGCCTTCTACGAAGGCTGGCTTTCGTAAAAATCCCTTTCAAACATGTATTGGAAACCGTGCCGCTATCAATTTGGGGGCCACACATACTGTTTATCTTCCACCCGTTGGAAGGGACCCTTTGAACCTTTGACCTGACCGCATTGAGGACTCCTCGCTTCAACCGAGGACATTGCTCTCCATCGGACACCCCAAAACCTACTCTGCTTGGTTTGGCCCAGAAGTCCTTCACGGGGATTTAACACTACCACTAAGACATTTCGGCATCTGCTTGGTGTGGTCATCAATGTTCATCTGAACCCGAACTGCTGCTCCTCACCTGAACCGATTCAAACATATGGGGTGGGTCCAACGGTCAAAACTAGGATACCTTGGTTGACCTACTTTGGAGGTCAAGCTACAGGTTCCAGGTTTTGACCCATTCCCATCTAATCATCTAAGTCCAAACATAGCACTATGGTTTGAACTCATATGGCTGGAACCTGACCAGAACAGCAAGGCTTGCGGCTTGCTTTAGCCCACGATGGAGCCTTGTTCTGGATAATTCCGTCCACAAAGGGTCGGATACCTTGCTGAAGCCAGTCGTGAATCTCTATTTCGAATGAGGAAGCTGTGAGAACACGTCTGAGATGTCTGTGTAGCATTTGTTGGCTACAACATGATACGACATATGGCACGGTTGCAATGAAAACACAGTTACTGTGCAAAATTGACATTGAACCGACCTAGCGTTAATCAAACTTGGTTCCAACATCCTTTCCTGGCAGACCCAAGCTAGAAGACAGAGCCTGGCTACGAACCGGAGCCGATTGAACAGCAACAAATTTAAGGGCCTCAATTCGGCCCAAGTCATGTCAAGACAAATCGCGATTCCAAACAGTGTTTTGAGAGGTTTTCTTGGCTCTTTGGGGCTGCGTATGCTTGAGCCTGCAACAGGTCGGAATGGGGGTGATTTCATATGAATACAAGGTCCCGTGCTTTCTCCACCAGTTCATATTCATAATCGCCCTCAAACAACAAGGAAAAACATCCAATGCAGTCCGAAGAAATCACCTCCCTATTGATGGATCTAGCTATCTATCTATATATATATATGTCTGCCATATATATATAACTAGTTACTGCAATAGGGACCCTGACCCGGGAAACTGTGGTTGCTACCTGCGTTGGTTGGATCCACTTGGCATTTGGATTTGCTTGGCAAAAAGAGTCGGAGAAATGAAGGGTTGAATCATCCCAGCGATACCAAACACATCATCGTAGCGATCTTACAGCATATTTACTTACATTGGGGTGGCCTCAGGGGCCGGACGAGGTCTGTCTATCTATCTATCTATCAAGCTATCAACCATTATCAACCCATCTTATCTTGTCTTGCCTATAATTTAAATCCCTGCAAGTCTGAAGTCCTGGCTTAACGAGGTCATTTCAAAAGTAACAAGTTGCACTTGAACCTCGCGTTTGTCGGAACACACGCTCTTATGATGTATCATTCCACCCCAGGTAGATCCTGCCATCAATAATGAGATGTCGAAAAACTACAAGATTCTGTAAAAAGTGGTACGTTACCTCCTTGAGCGATGTTTTATGGGATCCTTGACATGTCTTGGCCTGGGAGTTACGAAATACCTTGCGTAGTCATCGTCGCTGTGCCACATCCATATCGATCCTGCCACGTGCGAATTGCTGAGGGGAACATTTTTTGGCAAAAGTGCTACATTCCTGCTAGCGCGGTTCTTGGCTTAGCCGCTTGCCATCCAACTCAAGCCCTATACGCAGAGAGTTCCTGAAAGCAGATACTGCGCAGTGAGAGAACCAACCTGCACACACTGCACAATGAGAGAACCAGGGACCCTCCAGATACCAGTGCAGGATCCTGTAAAACCCTGGGAGGTCGGGTTCAAAAGTTCTATGCTCCCAAGGTAAGAACTTGTGACCATCCTTGGCAGGTTTACACTGATCCATCTCGGCGCCTTTGGCCGAAGAATTCAATCCCGGTGGCCACACAAAGGGTGGCTGTGGGAGATGGGCGCATGGCCGAGTGGTCAATCGGCTAGGCCGTGTCAAATTGCTTTGGTGAGGATGGAAGCCATTGCTGGATGCAATTGAAGTCTAATATTATCTTAGCCAATACCTGCAGACAAACAAAGAAAGCTTGTGCAACACACATCACTAATGATTAATCTGGATTAATCTGGATTAGTCCTACATCATAGGAACCAAAAAACAAAAAACGATGTGTGGGGGACTACTTAGATCTAGCTATGTTCAGACTAGTCTGGAAAACATTGTGTTTTTTGTTTTTTGTTTTTTGGTTATAACACACCATGCATTATAGGGAAAGAATGATGACTGAAGAACCCAGAACCATTGTAGTAGGCAAAAAGGAATTGTTGACAGCGCGAAACAACCAAGCATACTGATAGATAAGCCAAAATTATTAGTAGTTTCGGCGCTGGCAACAAGCCTTTCTGTATATAAATACACCCAAGATCACCCAAGTCAATGGGTCAACGACCTGCGTTTTTCATCTGGTAGTTTTTCAGAATCAGAAACCCACCCTGAAGTGGAACAGTGAATAAGGAAAGCCAGAGGTGGTTTTGAAGGGAATCTTATAGGGGTGGCTTAGGAGCAAAGTTGTGACCAACTGGTGGCACTTGAAGCCACTCCCAGATGCTCCGAGTGTGCTGTCAGGATGCCAAGCCTTCTTCATCATCTTCTGAAACCTGTTTTTGTAGGCTGATCTCTGGGCAGATTCGGCTATGCCCTAAGTGATCTCTGCATCGAGTTGCTGGCACACCCATCTTCTTGGCCAGCTCCTCCATGCGGATCTCCATAGAAATCTTAGCCAGCTGTTTGAGCTTGGAAACAGCAACGTCAAGATAACCTCATGCTATTGCGGTTCTTGGCTTAGCCGCTTGCCCTCCAGCAGGATGTGGTTCCTAGCCACAGCCCTACTGCGGTTCTTGGCTTAACCGCTTGCCATCCAACAGTATAACCCGTGGTCGCTTGCCATCCAGATTTCCCACTAAAAGCCAACCACCTGCTTCCCCTCCTTTTTTGTTCAGAGCCACTTCTGAGACATCATCCCGTGGCGGTTCTTGGCCTAGCCTCTTGCCATCAAACGCCCTGGCTCAAGCACCCTGGCCGCACCAGTCCATCTCAGATAAAACACATGCCATGTGCACCTTCATCTTCGACGATAGGTCTCCAGGCTTTCCAGTGGTGTGCTATTGCTCTCCGCATCCGGACGCACACAGACGAAGCCAAAGGAAGTCATGCATGCACATGTGTGTTCACCCCCATGTCATCCCTGGAGTGACATCAAGTTGTGTTCCCTGCAAAAATGAGTACACTTTGATCAGTCCCAGGTCTATGCTTTAAGGAAGCATACGAAAGGATTATAGCACACAACTGCGGAAGACTCCAGTGGTTCCTAGCTGTGATTCTACTGCGGTTCTTGGTTTAGCCGCTTGCCATCCAGAAGTAACCCTCTCGTTCCCAGCCGAAATCCTACTGCGGTTCTTGGCTAAGCCACTTGCCACCCAGCAGTAACCCATGGTTCCTAGCTGCGGTTCTTGGCTTAGCCGCTTGCCATCCAGGTTACCCACCAAAAGCATGGTTTCCCTCCAATTTTGTTGAAAACCACTTCTCAGGAAACAATGAGCACTATTTAGGTTTTCTATAACAAGACCACGTAAAGCCATGTTCTATTAAATAGTGTTCAATCTCTCCATTTTGAAATGAACACGTTTAAGGAGGTCATCGACTTGGAGGGTATATAAATATTGTATAATATAATACCTTATATATTCCACATGCAGCCAACTGGCCCTCGGATCGACTCCCCAGGCCCGAGGCCCAAGCCATTGGCTGCCATGGCCGGGAAGGCCAAGCCCAGGATACCCTCCACCGGGATCTGCCGAGCGATGACGCCGCGAGTGGGAGAGGAGCTTAACAAACGTAACAGGTTGGGTAGAGACCTGAGATGCCTGGAATCTCAGCAGCCAGGGGATCAAATGACGCAGCCAAGAATACCTATGTAATTAACAAATATAACAAAATGCTCCTGATGTTCACCAACTTTTGTGGACGAGAGAAGTTCGGTGTCTAATAAACAAGTTTATGATACCAAATGGTCGAGATTGCGTGTTCTGACTCCCGCAATTTCACTCGAAGATACAGGTTCACCGAACACTCTACCTTTTCTTGTTTAGTGAGGTGTCCGGATCTCTAAAACCTGCTGCACACCATCAAACAACATGTTTCAAACCGCATCAAACTAATCTCCCAGCGGGTCTTGTCAAAACAAGAGGGTGATTTGGAGCACCTATAACAGGTTGAAGCTTTCTGTATTTGCCTAGTCTGCAATAGTCTACAACATGTCAAGGGCCCGCAAAGCATTCGTCCACCAAGGAATGGGGCTTTGCATGGACAGTTGCCACCGGAAAAAGTGAAAACAATCCAGATCACCATCCGATCTGCAGTCGCCACCAGGCCAAAACATGTCACAACCATATACAATCGAAAGCAAGATCTATATCAAATTTCACTAGCCAAAGTGAACACAAGCAATAACCAATCGATCGCGTCTTTGGCGAATGGTAACCAAATCGTCAGCTCTCCTTTTTCAAGGACTCCGTCGGATGGCCTCCTCGAAGACCCGACCTTCTTCTGTCTGTATCATACCTGGCTCCGGTGAATCTCAGTGAATAACCTTCATGGTTCGAACTGGTCTCAGTTTTGCATTTGATGCTTTAAGGTCCATGTATCAAAAGACAGACTATGACAGATCTGCGCCGCCCATCTGCGGAAACTCGGCGTGCCGAAGGTCTGATTGTACACGGAGAAGGGGCCAATATGAAAGTCATCCACGGCCTGGCACGAGATGAGACGCTAGGAGCAAGGACGCTACTAGGGATCTCCTGGCATCGCTACTAGGAACAAGAAGCTACTAGGGGCTCCTGGC